ATTTTAAAAAAAAGCTTGAATTACATAATCCGAAACTTTTAAAAGAAAGTATTTCTCCTGAAAAGAAGGGTTATCTATTTTTTTTTCTCCTGTATCACCTATATCAACAAGCTTCCATCTCATCTGTTGACTGTGGATACACAAACCTTTTGCCAGTGCCTCTTTGTATTTCTCCTCTGCAACATTCAGGTTGTTCACGTAGGTGGCATGATGTTTGCTGTGGTGGAGCTGCATGATCTCTGCATTAATATGAGGTTCCAGAGCACCATAGTCATACGGCAGGTCAGGAAGAGTGTGCTTTTGCCTAGACACCAAGCATCCCAATGGTGCTATCAACTTGGCACTGCTTCTAGAGAAGAAAAAACAGAAGGGAGTAGTCTTATTCAGTACTTCAGCTTTACCACTGAAGCAGACTGAAACCATGACTGTTATGATCAGCTGCTTTAAGTAAATGGGGTGGTATCTTAGGTAAAGAAGTCAAATTTCCATTTTTCAAGAGCTCAAACCAAGCTCACTCTGTAGCTTAACTGCAAAGATGAATTCACATAAAGGTCACAGATACATGGCTTCGCAAACCGAGCCCCCCAAGCCACTGTAAAGTCATGTACCCTCCCATGCATGCAGGCAAGGCAAAGCTGCGGATAGGAATGGAAAGCTAGCGGGTAACAGGCAGACATCCAAAGCTTCACCTAATCTTTACTGATTAAAAACAGAAGCCAAGATGTCCCTGAAGTGTCCTTCCCTCACTACCCGCAAGGTCTCTGTACAGAAAAATAAAAACGCTGAAAAACCTAGACACCAGGTTCCCAGGCCTGAACCTCTCTAGCATTAATACCAACACATGTGCTTCCCTGTCCCTACGGTGGGTACTGGAAAACCACACACTGCGTGATGACAGCGCAGCCGCAATGTCGGGAACAGAAAACCACGCATGTTCGGGTTACCCTTCCCCATTTTAACATCTCGCACTTGTCACAAGACATGACAATGACCACGATGAAAGGAGAACTACTGGGCTGGAGGGAAGGTCAACTCCTGAAGCCCTTTTACGTTTCGCTGGTGACCTTGTCGTAAACCAGGGACAAACCAAGAGCAAAACCCTCGGGGCCCTGAAAAGCGGCCGAGTGCGGCGACCCTGCCTAGCAAAGCCGAGAGGATCTGGCAGCAGCATATCAGGCGACAAGAGTCCCTCGGCGGAGGGTGAAGGTAGAACCTGGGAGGGTGAAAGAACAACCGCCAGCAGCCCTCCGGCCGCGCCGCTGCCCGGCCCGGCGCCGAGCCCTGCGGAGCAGGCGGCAGCAGCGCGACCGCCTTCCTCCCGAAATGGCGGGGAGGCGCTGAGGGGCGAGGAGGGGGCGACCCCACCACCACCGCCGCCTCCTCCTCCTCCTCCCCTCCCGCCCACCGCTCGGCCGCGGAGGGCGAGGGCGGTCCGGCCGCCCGCCTCACGCTGCGGGGCTCTGACCGACATTACGCTCCCCGAGCCCTCCGCGGCGCAGCTCTCACCTGCCCGCCGAGGCAAAGCGGCACAACATGGCGGCTATCTCGCGGGCGGACGTTACACCGACGGCGCAACCGCGTCTTCGCCCGCCCCCCCTCCAGCGCAGCTGGGGCCGATGGCGGGGCGGGCGGTGCCGAGGGCGGGCAGCTGCGGAGGGCGGGCAGCTGCGGAGGGCGGGCGGGCCGAGCTTCGCCGAGTTGCAGTTGACGCAACGCTGCAGTCACCCGATTTCTTCAAATTGAGAGAAATACCTTTTTTTTTAAACAATCTATGTAGCACAGTATTATAAACAGAACCACTATATAAAGCCGTTAGCTTAGAACTCAGGCCGTCAGTCCTGCAAGCCGAGGTGAAGTGCCGCTGAGGAGGACTCTACCAAGCAGAAAAATGCCTGCCAGGAGCTTCTGCCTCTAGCGTGGCTGTTGGGCACCAGAGGATAGGGCGGCACCAGGCAGCTGTATTAAGCTCTGAAAACCTGCCCGGCAAAGACATGTTTCTGTCAGTTTACTGACAGGAGCAGCAGCACTAACAATTACTTTTTCAGCTATTTTGTCTAACTTACGTGTTTCGGTTCATTCCTGTTCTTTTCCTCATTTTTGTGCACATCTTGTTTCCCAACATCTGTTTTCCTCCTGGTAGCAATTCAAACGGCCTTTAGTGCTGATGAAAATCCTTTGTTTGGGTACCTTAACCCCATCAGCTAAATAATTGGTATAGTTAGTGCAAATGAGTTCAAAGACACATTAAAAATTGGTTCTCCAGAAAGGTCAGTGAGGAGAACTCTCCCCTCAGAGTTAGGAGGCACTCTGCAGACAAGACAAGCAATAGGTAAAACTTGAATTGTATGGAAATCATCTCTGCTACCACAAAACCCTCAATCTTTTGGGTTTTGTCTTTTTCAGTAAACACCGATATTCTAAGATCTTACAAAACTCACATTTACCAGACTATAAAAACACAAGTTACAAAAAATCAGTAGGGGTTAGGTCTGAACAACTTTGTTGAAAATAAATCACCTTATCTTGGAAATTGCCAGGAAATCCACCTGGAGAGACCCACAGAGCAATCTCAGCCCACAGAGAGGCACAGTACAATAGCATGTGTCCATCCCCCTGCTTCTTGACAGACACTAGAAAACAACATTAATTTAGTCTCACCTATCAGCCAGCAATACTCTCTGGAACACAGAGCAGTGAAAATAACTGCTTTATCAATAGATATGATAAAAGATGAATTGTTCAAAATCAACAGGAGGTTTGGAAACAAGATTTTCCCCCTGAATGCTGAAAATATATACAGCAAGATTTAAGCAGTATCTAATTTTAAAAAGGAATGTTGTATTTATTGGTGATCAATAAAATGTCATCTTTTGTTAAAATGAACCAACTACATTTAGGATTATTAAATGTCATAATAGGCACTGGCAGCCAGTCAAGCACATGAGTATTACAGGTTTTAGCATTTCTGTATGTATTATTATACTGCAATTCACTAATGCTTTGGACTAAGTGTTTCACGAAAGCAAGTCAATTATATGATGCATTTTGTTATTAACTGCTGCAGTTGCTGGGTTGCTTTCATTTTGAAAAAAGTCAAACGAAACACCCAAGCCTGCTTATTTAGAAGATACCCTCTAAGCACAGAATGACAACAGGAATGGCTTACCTTGCCTTACAATTATTTTCTTTCAACAAGTTAAGCTAACTTCTAGTCTGAGGGTATAATTTATATTTATAATTTTTTTTAGCTCTTCAGCTAAGCTATAATTTTTTACCATCTAAAAATTAAGTACCACAGACTCTTGAGAAAATTAAAATCTTTGTATGAGGTTTTAAGACACCAATGTCCTATAGTAACTGACAGATTTTAAGTAGCAAGTTGTCACCACCTGAAAGCTATGCATATTTTTTTTTAACCTCAGCACAATTAATGGCAGTTACTGTAACTCCAAAGATATTTTATATCCTCCTAATTCCTTACACTAGGCGAAAAGATTTCTACCATTTTCTTGGCATGAGTTGCTTTCCTATTTCAGACTGAGATTTGAACCACAACCACAGATTTCCCCTCAAGGCTTTTCACCATCTGTATTACCAAATAAAGCCATTGTTAGAATCTATTACCAGCATTTTAAGCTTCTTACAAATATTATATTCTACTATGTACAGGATCCAGGATGTACATATACACACACTATGGATAATCAAGCAATACGATACCAACCCCAAATATAAACCACCAGCAACCACAGATATAGATCACCATCAGGGATTTTTGTAAACTTTGGGTGCCAGATGCTGGTACTTTTTTGTACAGATACTTGTCACTTCCCTTTCATGCATTCAACTAATAGCTGCTATTTTTCAGGCAATGAGGGCTCAAGTAATTTTCAAAAAACAACCAGGTATTGCCAATGGAATTTACACTTCCAGTGACAACTACTAAGTGGTTTTAATACATTTAAATGAACCCTATGAAACTAAAATAGCCATGGTACATGGACTAGCTTGTCTCTAATACAGATGACAGCAGCTAGTAGTATTTTAATTATATCCATTTGTCTTGGACAATACTACTGCAGATGCTAATTCTCATGTAATATGCCACTTAAAAATGGTACCACAGAAACCCTTCTATAATCCAGGAACTTATTCTAACTATGTAATTTTGAAACAAATTCAAGTACATCCTAGAACTTTGGAGAAATACTACTTTCAAACCACCTCACTGTTTCCACAGTGAATTGCAAAGCTCTAAGCTATTTACTACTGTTCTACTGACTACATATGAGATAATTTTGTCAGTCATCTGGTAATAAGATTCACAGGTAGAAAAATGTTGAAACTGGACTTAAGTCTACCCAAAAGTATACTGCTAAGTACTTTTATTTCCCCTTTGAACAGTGCTTAAAAGCCAGTGCTTTTTCATCTCCTTGCTTATGTGCTACCATCACTAAACTAGTAGACAGAAAATAACCACCAGAAATTCAGGTTCTGATTGCTACTGAACAATAAAAGTATGCTTAATTGAAGGTAATTTTTTCATTTTCTGCTCATGTTAAGAAGTCAGTTCCCTCAGGTAGGCATTCAAAAACAATAGGAGTTATACCTGGTTTAAGAGGCTGAATTACCACCCCCTTAAAGTTTCGTAGTTTAATTTGTATATTTACCTGTTGGATACTTCTAGCTTTTCGGGGGCTTGGGGGGGGGGGGTTTAATCTTTATAAAAGCCAGGTTCCAACTCTTAAGGTTTACTTTTACTAACTTTCCCTTTTTTTTTTTCCCTCTTGTCTGCCAATAAGGACAAAACCTGTAGAATAAGCACTCTCAGGCTGGCCTTAAATTAGTATGATAGCACACACCTGTAAACTCTGGGTATTTGGCATAAGCTGTATCAGATAGGATTGACACAGGAACAAATTCAATAAAAAAAAGCAAGTACTGTAAATATACTGTGCATACAAGTAAGCCATGTAAGCCAATGCAGAACAATGAGGAAATTACATTATTAAAAGTTTTTATTTAGGTTTGGTCAGTACAGGTAAGATAATATTGGAGTCACAGAGCAATATGCATAAACAGGATACAACAGTTCTTAAAAACTGAGTAACTATGCACACAATTCATAAACATTCGGTCACCTAAGGAGAAAATGCACAGATGTATGGTGGGAAAAACTGTAATTAACACTGAAACTACTACAGGACTCCTTCAGTAAGTCCATCTTTTAGTGATAAAACTACTGTACTGGGCAAACTTGGCAGTCATAAACCCACAGCTATTATGACAAATCTTGAAGGTGGTGTAAGTATAACAGTATGAGTAAGAATGCCCTTACACAGCACAGGTTCTAGATATACACAGATTTGTACAGACATCATTTATGTTATACTTTATGGAAATAATTTCCATTTCAACTTCACATTAACTCATATAAAAATAACTTGAGCTACACAAACGTCCTTTTAGCAACATTCAACGTAATTAACTGTTAAAATTTCCAAAGTGGCAGAGGTATTGAAGCAAAAAGAAACCCACAAAAAGGCAAAATTGTGACAAGTATGCACTAATTTAAACGGCTTCTGGACAGTATCCTCTCCCAATTTAAATGACACTGTATAAAAATGTTGCAGAAAAATGTTACAAAACTGAACCCTGCACATTTACACTGGAGTCCAAACCATTCTGGACATGACGAGAACCCACAGTTCTGTTACCTTTCATGCTCACTGTTTTCTCCTCTTGAGGATCATGATTGGAGTCTGTGTCATTTGAGTGGTGAGTGAGAGAGTTTTCACTGCCAGTGGGAGAGTCTACACTTTCATACCCAGTACTGAGCTGGTTTATGTAGCTACCACTTCCTCTACCAGTTCTATCTTCAGAGTGGTTGGACAGCTTATTACCATTCCCTGGAGAAGCTGGGAAGTCATCTTCTGTGCCGCTACCCTCCCTATAAAATCCAGGCCCAGACGTCCGCTGGTGGGAGGAGCTACCATTGCTTGGTCCGTTTGCCAGACGGCTGCAGTCTTTACCCACAGCCTCTCCCTGGTCTGTGGGCTCAGAAGATGGAGTCCTGCTGGTACCTGGGTTGGAGGCCTGGGACTGCTGCTGCTGGTACTGCGCCAACTGCTGGCGAGTCTCCTTCAACTGCTGCTGAAGAACTAGAATGGTACTCTGCATACCCTCTACCTCCTCATCAAGCTGGATGATGAAGTCATTCAATTCTATGTAAAGAAAACACATTTGTTGCAAATACTTAATAGCCCATATATAGCTTGCATCTCAGACAAAAAATTAAAATCCTGTAACTCAACATTTTATGCCGAAATTTTTCAACAGACTATTTTTCAGCCATCAGGTATGCACTGGTTTTGATACTCTGCCTCTGAAGGAGGAAATGCTTATTATCTACATACTTTGTATACTGTTACTCAGAATATGAGAAGAAATTAACTTCTCGGCAAGAAAGGAGGGTATTTGGAAAACAGCTCAATTCTGGCAATTAATATTTTGCAAGTAGATCCTTGTGTATCTACTTTTCATCAAGTATAAAACCTTAGTAGAAATACTGTAAAATTAACCATGAACCACATCACATCTGTATGTAATAGAACTAATAATTACAAAAGCCTATTCAGTGAAAAAAGATTTTAGTCACATTTCAAGCAAGCTTCAGCTCTTACTGTTTTTAATCCTCTAAATCCTGCATAATGTGACACTAGAAGACTTTCTTACCAACAAAACTGTTAACTACAGGGTTTTTTAGTACTTAGGTACCAAGGATTTTACAATTAGGATTGCATTTTGGAGCAAAACAAATTTGACCTGAAAACAGTAAAAGAAACACTGATTCCCTTAGTCTTCAATTCAACTGCACCAGTGATATTGACAGGGCAAATAAAATGCAAACTACTTATTATTGTAAAAAATCATAAAATTAAAGTATTCTTGCTGCTATGGAAAAAAATCATCAGGAAAACTGCTATTGCAGGATTATAGTCATTGTTCATATGGGAAGAAGCAATAGGGGCTAAAGAACACATCTCAGTTCTGGAGCTTACTTTACTATACCCCATTCAAAAGCGGAAATATTTAAAGAATGTCCACATTTGCTTCAATTATGAACTTGATAAATTTAGATGAAGTGCATTATCTAAATAGCAGTTAAGAAGCAAAAGGGTAACTACTCCAAAAACATGTCATTACAGAAAGAATCATTTATCTTAAGAATTCTAGGTATGATAAAGTATTTTATACTGCTACTTTCTCAAAAATATGATCCTATGGGCAGGGGGGGAAATCTATCCTTAAAAATACTGGATATGTCAGACTTAGATAATGCCAAATCAAGTCTATGCTATCTTACAGACTTGAGTTGTAAAACAAACACATATCCAGGTTTGTGTGATGTCTAAATAGCTAATGTTCCAAGACTTACTGTAATAAGATAACGTACCTTTGTAACATTCTACCAAAAAACCCACCAATTCTATGCAGAACTCTCAGCTGAAGATTCGTTAAATTTGCATTTTCCCCTCCATTTAAATTATGCAAGAGGTCAGAGTTTATAGGTAATTCCAACTTAGGTTTACAATGCTGTACAATTTGGACTGTGAACACAATAATGAGATAGTTCATCTGAGTTACCTAAGCGCCCCCCGCCCCCCCAAGTCTATTCCTCTTATTCTTAGGAATTGTTAAAAAGTTGATTTTTTTTAAAAATAATTTCAAAATCAGAGTGAACAAGAAGCATTCTGTTCTCAGTGCATACTTAGCTTCATGCAATGTTAACAGCTTTCATCTTACCAATTCACCATTAATGTGTGCAGCCTAAACATGCCCTATTAAATAGCAAGACCTACAGTATGAAACCTGGGAATTTCAAATTCAAATGCTGCATTACTGGAGCTGCAAATCCCACCAGTCCCCCAAAGTTAAGTGCTGTTTGGAGTTTATTTTTTTTCTTTGGGGTCTGTTGTGGTTTGGTTTTTTTTAATTAAGACTACCAGTGAAGCAACTATCATATTTTACTTGATACTGCCCTTTCATTCTGGCAAAGATTGTTTTACAGTATGTGCATCATCAGGAAATTAAACTAGCAGAAGTGCAAGGCAACTTCCATTTTCTTAAAAAAATCCCTTACCATCCTGACTGCTTTTAAGTTCCTCACTATATTTCTTCTGTAAAGCCAACTCTGCCTCAAGCTGTGCAATACGTCCTTGGGACAGCTGCCTTCCAAGCTCTTGATTCTCCTGGATAAGCATTCGACACTTCGCCATTAACTTTTTGCCTGTTTGGCTGCAAAGGAAAGAGCCATCTATCACAAAATGAATATAAAACCTTCAGTTATCTTCCTCAATCACAATTACAAACAAAAAGGAGATGCAATTTCTGCATGTCACAATTCAAGGAACATTATGCCTCAACATAATTGTCATAGCAGAAAGTCTCCCTATAGTTACCACATGCTGTTCCAATGCCAGTTGATCTTCTGTCGCTGTCCCATAAAGTGGAAGGCAAGTTTTATTACTGCAAATACGAATAAGCATATTGTTCTTTTTTGATATCAACATCTGGATTATCAGTATGCACAATCTTGCATGTGCTAATTCTCAATGGAGTTAAATATTTGATTAAAGATGTGCCTTGTAATTCAAAAGATCAAGTACTGCATAAAAATTATACATGTAAACTGAATTGTAAACAAAAACCTTCTTCATTTATTGTACTAGCAAAATTTAATAATTAAATTTGGGTGAAGAGAAGAAAGTTGCTTGGGGGGAAATATAAAATTCCATGTTAATTTTTCATAGTGACATCCATTTTTCTTTAAGAGGCTTAGACATTCTTTTGAATGCTGTCCAGGTACTCTTCTTTAAAAAGTTAGATGTCTGTTTTTCAACTCAATTTATATATTTGACAGTAATGTACACAGTCTGTTTCATGATTTCTATGGTCAGCATCTTGCATGGTGAGGATGAAGTAAAACATAGTTAAAAATTGGCAGGAAATTAAGGAATCTACTTCCTTTAGAATGACAGAATTTGGATCATGAGTAATGAACATTAGGATGTCCAGTTTCTGAAAGAAATGGGAAACAGGCAGGAAAAAAGAAATTTTGAACTGACAGGATTTTCTTTGCTAAATGGGTAACATCACACATCTTTAATCTTCACGATAAAAATGGCATTGTAAAGCATTATAGGAAGTAGTATGCAAATTAATATATAGGCAATACAGCTGACTCCATAAAAGAGAAAAATTAAAGTTCTTTAAGATTCTTGGTCTGCCAAAGTCAGGATAGCAACCACAAACAGTTCTCCTTTTAATAGGCTCAGCAACATACTGAAGCTGTCCTCTTTTCTACAGAAGTGTAAGCTCTGCCAAAAAAAAAAAAAAAAAAAAAAAAAAAAGAACCACCCGAACTTGAACAGGTTTATTGTGAATTCAATGGCAGGACTTGCATTACTTTTCAAGACCAAGAAGGTCATTTAATTTTTTGTTTGTTTGCTTTTAAACAAGTGACAAAGATTGAAAGAAATTTTGAGGATTAAAGAGGTAGAACAGGAAATTTCAGCTACAATTCACAGCCACGGTTCTCTCCTGCAACCAAAATACCCAGCCAAAAGAATTTAAAATAATAATTTCCTTATCAGCTACCTTTTAAGCATTCAAGCCTTAGACAACTTTTAAGTTCTGCCAACTCTGCCCCATTTAACATTTTCCGACTGACTCTCCCAAATCTTTCAGATGGGCTGCTCCAGAAGGAATCTGGCTGTGTAAAGTCCTGGAAGCCTGAAACTGCTAAAGGCAGCAACCTGTTTTCTTTCTTGATGTGATGTCCAATGCCAGGTCCTTGAAGTTTAAATTGTGCTGACCTAATACAGTCCAAGTCGCACACTTAAGATGCAAGTTTCCTTAGAGATGTTCATTCTGTGTAAAGCAGGACCACTTTGGAGATAACCAATGTGACATATCCCAAAAGTTATTAGGCAGACATGCAATGATTTTTAGCCATTTGCAAATTCCTGTTACTGTATTCATCATCACTACAAGTTGAAGAAGTTCACAGTGCTTAAGTCATTTAATGCTTTTCTCTTCACAAAACAATGTCAACTGTAGTATTAGCAAGTACCAGTTACCTTGGAATTGGGACCATTTTAGAATCCCATTAATTTCTTCACATTAACTCCTGCCAAAATGTAAAATATTTATTACCTGTATAGAAATTTGCATAGTTACCTATAATGCTATTTCTTCCCATCAAGATTTTTCCAGATGTTCTGAACTAGTACGGCACCAAGTAACCTCCCCTTGCAATTTACAAAAAAGACAACACATGCAAGAATATAAAATCCAGTAACTCTTAAAATAACTCCTATGAGCTGTAAAACTAAGTTTGGCTTTGTTTTCACAAATCCTCTTGAACATACATGCAACAAAACCTGTAAGAATATAAGTGGTTAAATTTCAGAAGACTAGCATTTGTTGTACTAGACTTACTGTAAATGATATTTCTACTATTTTTAATCCAAGTGTATACTCTATGATTAATGATGGTTGAAATGGCTTAGCATAGCCATTCCTTTAATTACATGCCCTTTTATTTCTCCCTCCAGACATCAACAATGACTATGCTGTACACCCTTATCTATGGTTAAGGCCCAGAACTAACATCGCTTAGGGTTGCAGTTAATATGTTACCCTAAGAACACAAGTTAGGGATCCAAATAGGAGCATCATCTCTTTCAAAAACTAGGTCAGATGCCATGAAGTAAGAGTAGTTGCATACAAGGATGGACAATTAACGCAATTAAAGCGGGGGGATGGGGTGCAAAGAGAATGAAAAATCCTATAAATACTTTAATATGAGTCTTCATTTCTTTACCCTTCCAGAAATAAAAATCAGTAAGATCTTAACCCAGTTAATGAAGACAGCCTCAATTATTTACCAGGAAATAACTGTAATTTTCTGTATTCCAGCTACTGCATATATGAATTATGCACATTCACACCACTGACTTAAAATTATATGATGCATATTAGGGTATGTTGTAGCTACAGAAATAACAAAATTTTCTTTTGATACTTTTGCTTGAAAGAAAGTGGCAAGTTACTTGGTCTCTCCTCAGCTGTACACACACATTTAGAGCCTGAGGACTTAAGGAAACAACCAGCCTGTATCTAAATATATTAAATAATTTTCTGAACTCCAAGTTAAACAAGCAATCTGCACGGCATGCCTCTATCCGCACATTATAGTGAGCTTTACAAATGGCTTGGTAACACGTTAACAATTTTTTAATGCAAGTCTTACCTCTGTTTTGATGCTAGATCATTAAAATCTTAGATACTGCTATAACAAAATCATTCCAGATGTATCACTTTTAAAAAGGTAAAGTTTTTCTGTAGGCTTTTCTTTTGCTGTTAAGTCATTACTCATGCAAAAAAAATAAACCTGCATAAATACACTACTCTTCAATCCCATATTAATCATCTGAAGCACAAACAGTTAAAATACTTCCGACTTAAGGTACTTCCAAGTTAAAAATACGTAATGCCATCTTAATAAAAGACATCAAAACAGTTAGAATACATCACCTTCTGTGACAGCTGGATGCCTTTTTTTTTTTTAATTTAAAACTGAATTTTCTAGGAGCAGACTGAGTCATAAAATGTTGCCCAACTGTTTTGAAAATCAAAACCTCAGATTACTAAATAGAACTCAATTTTCTAAGGAAAAAAAAAAAAAACAAACACACAAATGCTATACCAAATCTGCATTTCACTTTACACACCTCAGACATGCACCCCCAACTGTCCCGGATTGCTACTCTTACAAGTAACTTGGGACAACAGAACAGAGGCACCAATAGAGTAGCAAAGGCTCCTTTCACTGATTGCACCAAGGAAAATGCATGCATTTAAGTATTTTTGCTTTGTTGAAATACTGACTTTGTTTTCAGAGAACGAGACAATGCAGAAATAACAACCTGTTCAATTCTCGTTCATCCCAGGAGTTTCACAATACAACAGATAACCAGTAGTGTTCCTTGAACTATATATTACAACTATTTCAAGGCACATTTTATATAGAAGTGCAATACAAAAAAAACCAGGTGTACAAACGAATAAAAACACCCCACCAACACTGAAGACAGTTGCCATTGTGTGCCTTCTGTATTGAGCATTTGAGATCAGTTCTTAGAAGATCGAAAAATTCTCATTTCTGCATGAAAACATGCAGTGAAATACTTATCACAACCAGTTTTTCTTATACATGCTAGTTGTGATCAAATGTGTATTGCTTCCAACAATTTTAAACCTGCAATTAGATAGAACGTACATTTTTGTACAGTCCTAATTTTGAGGCGTCCACAGTATTACCGACCATCCAGAAAACAGTTCATTAGTTAGCAACATTGACTTAAGGCTCCATCAAGTGCTAGAGAGCCCAAAGGCTAAACAGTCAAATGTGTACACTACCACTGTTGTGATATCAAATAGCACTCTCATGGCTATTCAAAACTGGTTAGCAAGTAAACTCTTTAACGCAAAATTCACCTCATTGAGTTTTGACCCAGCAGTTCAGTGAACAAGCAGGAAGTCCACAGTCTTATTGGCAAAACTGACTTACAGTGTCTCTAAGTCACTAGGCTCAAGGTTAAGAGCGAAGCATATTCCACTTCTACATTTTACGGGAATTTTACATGTTCAATTCATGATTTATAATCTCTAGGTTCTCTCTCCTCCAAACTGTCTGTAGACACAGTGTGCCACAGACTTAAGACTTCTGTTTCTCCCTCTATTTTCTTCAAATAGAACAATTTTGCAAATGTCTACATGTTCTAGAAAAGATTTTTTTTTCGAAGATGGCCATTTCTTCAGAATAGTCCGACGCCGTCAGGCCTCTGAAGCAAAGGGGGAGAAAAAAGCTGAAACACAAGGTTCATCTGGTAAGTTTTACATTAAGCATTACAAGCTGGACAGTATAAGAATGTGGCTTTTGCCTCAAAACGTCTGAGTCTTGGTGTGGAAACGAGTACTTGGCTGTCCCACCATAGCATTCTCGTAGTGGGACTGTCAGGGAAGTCTTGACTGGGGAGTATTTGTTTTGTTTACCTATCAGGCGTAAATTTCCAGGCACTCAGTTCATTTTGGGCTTGTTCCAGTTTGTCTTTAGTCTGTTCCAGTTCACCTTTCATTTTTAGGAAAAACAAGTTGATGGCTGGGTCCACCATTGTTGATCGCAGTTGGGCAACACTAGGCTGCTGGACTTGCTTGAGGTACTGAATCTGATTCTGCATAAAATAAGAAAAAAGACTGTTAGCCATACAACATTAAATAAAATTTTAAAGTCATTTAGATACAAATAAAAATAGTTATTCCAAAGATAACATCAAGGAAGCTTGCCTTCTTTCAACACTGTAACCTGAAAAAGGCAGGATAAACATCACTTTTGCCCACCTGTATCCTATCACTGTACATATTCACCCAATCCCCCATCCCACCACCTGCCAAGCTCAAACTTTCAAGGCCTTTTTTTTTTAAACCCACCCACCCCGCTTCAAATTGTTTTCTACATGTCAGTTTGCTAAAGCAATGATTGGACCATTAGAATCCTCCCTTTCTTTTATATCTTTTATACCTGCCTGGACTCTTTTTGGGGAAAAAAAAAAGTATATGCACAGAGTTATCTACTTAAAACAGATAGCTAGTTTCCATATAACTTCAGTGAAAGTTATTATGGAATATCACAGCTAATATTGACAAATAATATTTTTTAAGCAACTACTAAAAAGGTTTTTACAAACTTCTACGCTTTTTTTTTTGCAAATGCAATAATCACTTACAATGCAAGTTTGCATATTTATTTTTTAAACAAAATAATTTAGAAATATTAACATCAATTAAACAGATTTTGGTTGCATTATATCAAATAAATTTAGAATATATAAATATAGCATTCATTAGTTAAAACTTGTATGTATTTAAATAGGATTAACTTTTTTGAAAGTTTCTTATATTTTAATCCCATCACAATAGACAATCTTAAAAGGTACTAAGCAGTACATGTTTAGAATCCAGCTAATCACTAAAATCACATCAGCCTACACAGAGTGTTCATTCTTAAATTCAATTTATTATACTCCCTGTATCATACACATTTCTTCGTCAGCAAGAGGTGAACAAAATTACATGAGATTAAAAAAGAAACATTAATTGAAAGTCAGGGGTTTTGCCTCCCACTGCATGACAAACTTGCAACCAGACTGGATAGCCACAGAGTTTCACTCAAAAATTCTTGGATTTTATTTCAAGTGAGGGATTTCAAAGTTACTGAAATAACTGAAATACCTCCATTGACTTCTCATTAATTTGCTATTATCAAAATAAAAATATTTAGTTACTTACAAAAAAACCCTGAAGTAACCATCATACTTTGTTTTAAGTAGACAAACTTTTATGTGTCCAGAAAGAAATATAATGGGAATAAAACACTGCATAAAAATATTTTCAAGAATTAAAGCACTCAAGAACCCACCTACAACCACTGCTTAGAAAGAGAAGTCCAAATAAAGATTATCCTAACATTTCTTGGATGGCATTTTACCCCCACGGCTCCTTTGCCTCACTGAATGCACAATATGTTGTTCACTGAATAAAGATCTATTTAATTTATTGTTACTGATATACCTTTTCTATCCATTCAACTTTGACGCTTGCACTACTGTAAGTATTTCAACAACCTGTCAATTCTTTGTGAGGGCTAGCACTAGTAGAGGGTGAAACAGCTAGTTTAACAGATGTCTGCACACATACAGACACTCCAGCTGGCAACGTATTCCAGGAATATAATTATGTTACAGCAACATGGTTCCCAACCTATTTTTAGACAGGCATCATTGAAGAAATAAAAGACCATGTTCCTTGTCTTACCTAGGCCCAGCTCCGTCCTTCTACTGCCAGCCTAAGAACTGTAACAGATTGCTTGGATCAGTAGCACAAAGAATTGCTGCCACCTGCTCCTCACTCGTGCCAGAAATGCACTAGAACACTAAAGAGGACCCAGCTGATTCTGTCCAATGTCAGTTATTTAACAGTCTCATTTGGTTATCTCTAGCTCACGTTCCTATGCCAAGCAGAAAGCACTTGCGTAGGCTCCACATAACACCTCAACTGTCATTCCTAAAACAGTAATGTAGAAAGAATTTACTTAAGCTGAACAACCCTTGCTTATTCCCTCCCAAAACCTGAAGACCATTTATTCCTCCAGTTTTTCCAACTCAATTTTTCTCCATCCTTCCACAAGTGCTTTCTCTAGTTGTAACTCCAGAGTCCTCACCTGCCAGGCTTTTCATCCACCCAGACCTAAGCAACCTCCCCCCAGTATTGCCCACTCACAAAGCAAGTCCATACCTCTTAACCCTTCTGCCTACTTCCTTATTCCATTCTTCTTCCTGCTTAGCCAGTCCAAGCCTCCCACTCTTGCTCCCTCTAACCACTCTCAGGAAAGTCTCTCCTCCTATTGATATTCCAGGCGTTAAGGGGTGGGGAGCAGAAGAGTTTGCCCGCATTCAGGACCAACTTCAGGCTTGAGCTGAATATACATGAATAGTCATGTCCAATGCTAGACCTGAGGACATGCCTGCTCTAACACTTGAAATGCCTTCTGGCTGTTCATATTCCCAAACGTAAAAGCACACTCTAGCTGGTATTTTTCAAAAGCCTCTCAGATGGACAAATAGGGATGAATTTTCACAAACAGAATAAAAACCTTGGTATTGGCTTTCTCTCTGCTCTCACCTAATGCAGGAGAACACCGAAAGTAGTCTATTTAGAGGACATCGGGCCGTGCAGGGTTTTGTTTGGGGGGATTTTTTTTGTTGTTATTGTTAAGACAATAACATTTTCAACCCCCTGCTTCTCACATTCTTGGAAAAAGCTGAATCCTTTCAGCTGAAGCTGTCCAAAGACATCCACAAAGAACAGACCCTCTGACATGAAGAATTTAACAAAACAGAACGCAGGTGCTTAACAGAAAATGTAAGCAATCTAAGTACAACTATATATCCTTCCTGTAAGGAAAAAGCAGGAGCGAAGAAACTGCATAACAAAGAAGAAAAAAAACACAACAGAGCTGTAACCTAAACCACAAGTAGGCTATTCAGAGTAATGGCTATCTAGGTACTGTATTCCAGCTGCACCCACAGGAAGCTTCCACTCATTGTTATCTGTTCCATGGAAAACCTATTTGAGAAGCAAATACTTCAAAATGCCTGTCCACTTACTGACCTACAGTAGCTGTGCAGCACCTTGCGAGGGGGTTAAGACCTTTCCCTAAGTAGCAATAACTTCACCACCACCTCTGCCAGAAACAAAGCTTTATGTAGAAGCAGTAGCCAATACCTTACCCACATTTTGCTAAAAACAGCAACCTCTTTTAGGGGGTTGTTCCTGCTAGGGGGAAGGTAACTCAAGGCTGCTGCTGACAATAGGGCACATGAGCTATTAAACACCTAAACTTCAATCAAGCCCTTTAGTTAGCCACCCTAAACTATGCAGAGCAAGTTTGCAACACCAGTCAGACTCTCAGTAAGCTCCTAGCTCAAGAGAAACCCACATATTCTGCTGCTAGACTCTGCAAAGAGCATGAGAGAGAATGGAGCTATGCACTCAGCTACCATCTTTGTTTCTTCAAAGAGTACTGAAATGGAATCAGGACAATGATTCTGCTACTGCTACTCCAACATGCACACCTACACTTTCAAAACGATGACAGCTGACTTTTATAAGCTGAATTAGGTTTTGCTGTGTTTTATCTTTTAAAAAGAAGGGTACAAATTAAAACAGCAGCCAAGACAAAGTCTATAACACCTTATTTTAAAACAGAGCTAGTATATTTTAACTAGCAAGGTGTTTTACATATTAATAATCCGCAAATTCACTTATGTCTTTGTCAACTACTACCATTTGAATATGGTATGGTATTTTTAAGTTTTTATCAATTTACATTTGAACATGACCTGAATGTGATAACTTTGTAAGTATAAAACATCCCGAAAATACATTAAGAGTAATATGAACAGTAAAGCATTGGTAATATGGTAAATATTCATCTGTAGTTTTCAAAAAACTTGATGCCATAGATGCTCAGTCTTTCTAATTAAGATTGACAGGAAACACTGAAGGCTTACATATAAATAACCATCACTGGTACATTTTACATGTAAATATGAATTACAAAAAACAGTTAACTATGCTAAAAATAAATGTTATTTTATGGACTAAAAATTAGACATGTCAAATAACTTACCATATGGTGAACAGTTTTTGTTCATTTATGAAATTATTTAGCAACCCATAGCTTAGCTTTGCATCCCATCCAATGTGATTTATTTTGCTACTGTTACTTTACTGGAAAAAACACTATCTAATACAAAGCCGAGTAGTCCTCCAAGGCTTCTTGAAACTACAAGCATTTAAACTTGAAACACTTTAAGGTGCCGATGTCTCCATTATAGCTTCTACCCCCCTTCTTCAAGGGTGCACCTTCCTAACTCTATGCACTATGGAGGAGATTACATCCTTGATGTTATTCATATGTCAATACCTAGAAAAATATAAGCCACTTGGGTGCGTGTGTTTGGGTTTTGTGTCTTTTTGGTGGGTTGTTCCCCTGGGTTTTTTTGGGGTTTTTTTTAAGTACACTGAAATTAATAAAAGCTCTTCAGAAGTTCTAAACAGATGTTCTGGAATGCCTATACATCACAGCTATAAACATCTGTAATGAAGTGCAGCCAAAAATCCTATAGTCTTCACAATCTTGTCAAAATTCATAGCCTTAAATACTTGAAATTTTTGTCTTAACTCATTATTTTAGAAATAGGGAGGGAGAAAGGTGAAAATAGTACAAACAAATTTGGTTTTGGTGGAAAAACTTACATTTCTTTTAATTTTTTTAGTATGTATTGTTTCAGCTATGTGCTCAGAAGTTCAAAAGAAAAAAAACTTCTTATTACTGCTGTTCCTCATAGCAGAATTTATCAGTAAAACTAACAAGAGAAGCAGGATCAATATAGTAGTCTTACTACTAGGGAAGTGTTGTGGTATAGTACCAGAACAGATCTTCGTTAGCATCCTGGGCTGCATTAGGAGGAGTGCTGCCAACAGGTCAAGGGAGGTGATCCTTCCTCTCCACTTGGCACTGGTGAGACATCTGGAGTACTGGGTCAGTTCTGGGCTCCCCAGTACAAGAGAGACATGGACATATTAGGGTGAGGCCAACAAAGAGCCATGAAGATGATTAAGGGGTTGGAGCATCTGACATACAAGCAGAGGCTGAGAACACCAGGGCTGTTCAGCCTGGAGAAGGCTCAGGGGGATCTTGTCAATGTGCATAAATACCTGATGGAGGGAGTTAAGGTGGCAGAGCCAGGCTCTTCTCAGTGGTGCCCACTGAAAGCACAGAAGGCAACGGGCACAAACTGAAACACAGGAAATTCCACTTAAACATAAGAAAATGCTTTTCGCTGTGACAGTGGTTGAACGCTGGCACAGGTCACCCAGAGAGGTTTTGGAGTCTCCATTCTGAGATGCTCAAAACCCGACTGTGCACAGTCCTTAGTAACCTGGTCCAACTGATCCTGCTCTGAGCAGGCAAGGTTGGACTACACAAACTACAACCCTTCAAGCCTCAGTGATTCTGCGATTCATTTTTTGCCACTGCAAAGTATGCTCTACCCCCTCTTTTTTTCTCTTTATACCAGTGCTTACTATGAACTAAAGTCATCTTATGTCTTAAGAGCAGTGAAAATAATGTGTACAGTTAAGTGTCATGCTACTATACCTTGACAGCTCTGAACACCTACAGGAAAAAAGAAAGGAAGGCTAAAAGAAAATAACAGAGGAAAGCTACAATACTAGTTATTAGTTTTGCACAGAGCTTGTATTTTTCATGAGAGAAGCTCCCAGGAGTATGTTACAGAAACTAGCAATAAGCAGCTTTTTACAATCTTCCCTCAGGAGCTGCCAAATTAAAGCAGCAGGTGAAAATTTAAGAAGGTAATCCAAAAAAGATCAATAGTCCAAAAGTGGTAGAATATAGCTTCAAGAAACCAAAACTAAACACAGAAGAAAACAGCGTCACAGAAAACCCACAGAAATAAAGGAGAGAGAAACAGAAACAGTAACAAACAAAAAAAAAAGATATTTAGTATAAAGAACATTAGAAACCCCAAAAAGCAGACCTGCCAAATTTTGAAAGAACTTCCTCTGAAAAAGTCAGTAGCTCTGTCCTCTACCTAGCCAAGCAGATGCGAAAGATTACAAGTACCTTGTTATCCAAATCCAACTTAAACATCAGACTAAAGCCTCCTACATGAAACCCTGTAAATTCAATCCTATCCTTACACTTCAATTTGTTTCTGCATCCGATGACAGTCAGAAGTAACATTTTTGATATATACACACAGCTCATAAATGCTAGATGAAAGTAAGCATGGCTCATTAAGAACTACCTTGGTTCTAAAGCAAAAGTTCTTCCAAGCACAACTGCTGCTGAAAATCAACCGAAGTAACTAATTCTAAAAAAAAGCAAACTTTAAGAAGTGATGTTTATTAATTCAGTGAAAGTTTAAGTGCCCTGCCATTTCTTTAAGCACAGAAAACGTGCTGCTATAGATAATACAAAAAACCTAGCACAAGGCTACTGGCTCAAAAGCTGATACTCTTGTAATAGTCTGAAAACACTTATCCCCTCCAAACACTTACAGTACACTCTTGCATCTCCTGCTCCTTAGTTGCCAGCCTCATCACCAGAATATTTTCTCTTCGGGCAGACTCTTGCTGTTGCTGTTTCAACTTCTCTTCAGATTCTCTCAATCCCGTCACATCATTAGCTAATATAAGTAATAACACACAAAAAGCATACATTTTATAGCATCCTCTCATGAACAGTTTTTAAAGACAGCTAAAAGAGTCTAAAAACCAATTCATAAACAGCAAGAGAGTCATAAGTAAACATGACTATAATAAGCATAAATAAGGAAAAAAAGCAAAGTATCGTTATTAGAAAAGCTTGACAACAGTTGGTTTTAAATATCTCTTTCTGATCCTTCCTTAAGACCTACTAAACTTTTGAAAATGTTTTCATGTTTATATAGGTGATAACTTTTAAATTGCTTGTTTAACCAACTATTATTACAACTTGCAGTCTGAAACTCAGGAAGCTGGAACTATCCCATTATCTATAAGAAATGTTGAGGCCAGAGTAGGGGAGGGGGAAGTCTACATTCTGGCAAAAAATTATCTGCAGTCTGTAAAATGGTGCTATTTGTGGTCAACCCTCAAACTGGTCTCAACACTCCATGAGTAAACAGTAAGACACTGGAGAACTTCAGAAATGGCAGTTCAGCCACAACTAGAATTCTTCTGACTCATGAACTTTTATGAAAGTTTATATATGAAATACGAGAGAAGGCAGCACAGCACATTTCCAAATTATTCAAACAGGAACACATGCAATCAGCCTGATACAAACAGTATACATTCACTCTGCTACTTGTCATGTATAAAACAATGGAAAGTTGGAATAATTAAGATTTTTTATTTTTTCTAATTACTTGAGAACTATCAGCTATAACTGTGAATTCAGAACATCACAAATTGCTTCAGGACAATTATTTCAAAGTAATTCTTTGCAGATAATTCAATAATACTGATTACTACAGCCTGTATTAGGGTTTCAAAAACTGAGAAACTGAGAATGTTAAAACAACTTGTTTATCTATGTTAGGACAGTTTGAGACTAGAATAAAATCAACTGCTTCCATCTGCTATATTTTATTCTCTCCAAAACTCAAACGTTATGGGGTGGCAGTAGAAGAGGGATGTAACAACAGAGAAAAGAAAGGACACATCTGTTTGGGTTGACAGAAAAATACCCTTCAAATTCAGTGGTACTAAGTCTTTAAGTATTTAAACTGGAAATGTGAGTGGAAAACAGGAAAGAGCCTATCTCTAGCTGCCAACACAATTTTTAGAAGTGACTTAGGATAGGTGATTCCGTCACTTCCAGAACGTGTTCAGCTTTTCCCATTTGAGTAGGATGTTTTTCCCACATTCTCTTTTGAAACACTGAAGTACAGACCAAGTTTTAAAGACCACACAAGACCGACAATCAAATAGTTAATTCACCTAATCAGGTCAAACATTACTTGGGGATACATTTTAGACCTTCACCTCTACAAATCCCATGTGATTTAGAATCCTGTGAGACTACTGAAGGCACAAACATTCATGGAGTATTTTGGTAGAGGATAACATTTCCTTTCTAATGGAAAAGTCCTGAAAATACACCTATTCGTGGGGTTATGTTTTGAGACTTCCCCCCTCCCTCCAGCAGTCTGGGTACAGACGGTCCTACAGATGCAAAAATAGACTTTTTAGATACTGTGTAAGATCTGCAAAGGAAAATAAGTGGCTGAGACAGTTGGGAAAGACTGAAAACTTACACTAGAAAAAACAGGGACTTTTTTTCTAACAAATAACTTACATAGAGATTATTATCTCATTTCCAAGAGTTTTAGAAAGCACAGACATTACTAAAACATTCTGCTTTATACAAACATTCAGGTAACTCATACCATTTTGAAACTTAGCTAACTTACAATTAAGGTCTGTGTACTTGCCCTCCAGAGCTTGCACATATGCTTCATACTGTTTCCACCTATTGCAGAGACAAAGAGAAAAAAGAATTTTCTGAAGCTCAGTTTATTAAATCAAGGCATCTCATTCCTAAAGTTTCAGAGTGTATTTTCATACCATAATCAGAAAATGTCAAGAGGGAATCACACAATTGCATAAAAGGCAATTCCAGTTTTAAAATAAGGGGCTTTAAATCATGGAAAAAGTTAAATCCACTTTACATCTCAAAAGGATAAAAAGGTAGCTGTGCATTACACTTAAAATTGGTATCTTAAAACTTATTGTAATGTTTTGGACAAACATTGGGATCAAACACTTAGTTATCTGTGTAAAGTACCTAAGGTTCATCTCATTCTCAAAGCAGAACAATTCAAACAGAATTCTGTAACAGAAACCATAATACACAGACAACATTAAGTCTGTTACCAAGCAGACGTGTATTACAATACACTAGAATTGGCAGTCTAGGTTAAGTAGTTATACCAGCTCATTCAAATCAAGACCATACTCTGATTATATTCGTCAACCAGAAGCCAAACATTTTAATAACTCTTTGAATGCATGTTATTTCAGCAATTCATACACAGTCAGAAAACCTCACATTTAAAAATAGTATTGCACTTGATACAAACTATCAAATCAGTAGCAAATAAAGTCTGCAGTCAAGCTTAGCATGACATGCCTTACCAACAAAGTTCACAGGACGGTGTTTTGGGGGGTTTTGTTTGTTTGTTTTCAAATAAATACTTTGCTCCAAACTACGTGTCTTCCTCATGGTGGTACAATTCCACAGCATGAAATAAATTCATCTAATAGCTTACCCCTATAGGGGGAAGGTTTCTGTTCCCTCCTCCCAACTACCCCTTCTCCCTGACACCTATTTTATGCCAGACTCATCGTTAACTGCTCTATTTTAACTCCCTAACCTACCAACATCACTATCTCAATCAAAACAATAAAATCTAACTCTAGACCATTTTTGACCATTTAGCGAATTCAAACAGCTTGTTAAAGGGTCTAAAGAGCATCAGGTCTGCAACAGCAAATGAGATCACATCATTGGGAAAAGCAAAAGTAAGCACAAGATCTCTTCCTTCTAGCAGCAACAAAATTTTACATCTTCTCAGCTGAACATGAAATGAGCATGAATGAACTCTCAAGCTCTGTAGAAGCGAGAAGCTGTGTTCCTACTTAATCCTTAACTTACCTCTCTGCTCTAAAAAGAGCATCATTAGAAACAAAAGTGTCACTGTTTGACCACTAGAAGTTCTATGTTAGTTCAGGAAACTTCAATCCCTCAAAAGTAAAACTGAAACAGTCTACTAAATAGCAAAACAGAAAGAGCCTAATTTTTACATGAGAGAATTACATAAAATTAGAGTCGGTCTTCAAATACAGCTGCAGGATTACTTGACTTCTAAGCTACATCTTACAGACTGAAAACAGTAATTCTGTCAAAATCATAATACCACCCCCCCCCCTTCCCCCCGGTAATAGGAGCTACACAAAGAGCAAGTGAAATGAAGACCTGAAACACTAGTTGACATGACAGACCCCCACTGGAGGAAAAAGAGGAAAAAAAAAAAAACAAAAAACAAACAAAAACAAAACCACAAACACCCCCCTCTCCCCCTACCACACAGCCCATGGTCACCAAGAACATCAGAGATAATACCTCTAAGTCACCTCTCAACAACAGCTAGTATTTAAGCAAAAACTAAATTCCTGGAAAAGAAAACCCAGCATGCACTAGGCCATATGATGGATTTCTCAAGTCATGTGCCTGCCATCTCTTCTAGAAACATGACTCTTCAGACATAATGTTTTGTCAAAAACCTGGTGAAGACTGTTGCAGTTCATCTTCAAGCAAGCTGTTCTGGGTCTAGCTGGCTGAGATGGAGTTAATTTTCCTCACAGAGCCCTCATACTGCTGTGCTTTGCATCGGTGGCTAGAAAGGTGTTGATAACACAGCAGTGTTTTGGCCACTGCTGAGCAGTGCTCACACAGCATCAAGGCTATCTCTCCAACATGACCCCCACAGCAGTAGGCTGCGGGTGGGTAAGATATTGCAAGGGGACATCACCAGGACAGCGGAGCCAAACTGACCAAAGGGATATTCCATACCACATGTCTTCTCAGCAATAAAAGCCAAGAGAAAGGAAGAGGGAGGCAGGGCATTCATTATTATAATGTTTGTCTTCCAGAGCAACTGTTACACACACTGAAACCCTACTTCCTGGGAAATGGCTGGACACTGCCTGCTGATGTGAAGTAAGAGAATAAATCTTTTGTTTTCCTTTGCTTCCATGCATGGCTTTTGCTTTATTCAGCTGCCTCTATCTTGACCCACGAGTTTTCTTCCATTTTATTTTCTCCCCCCAGTCCTGCTGAGGAGGGGAGTGATAGAGCAGCTTGGTGGGCACCTGGCATCCAGCCAAGGTCAACTCACTACGCAAGTTTACGGAATTGTACGGAATAAACTTGTGACCACCACACTGACATAGTCAGAGAACTCTTCAACAGTCAAGCCATCAGTTTTAAAACAACCTGAACATTTCCCACCACAGTAGCTTTACTTTCACACGCATGCACTGCATCTCAGTTTTGCTACAGCTACAGAAGATCTCAGAAGCAATTTTCTCTTCTAGCAATTGAGCTGGTTTTCACCTCACTTCAGGCAAACCAGAAAGTTAGCAACTGGAGACAATTGCTTATTTCATGCAATAGATTTAGGAAAAAAAAATTAAAACAGACAATCAAATAGACTAAAAGCATCAAAACAAAAAGTAAAATAGTGAAAATTTAAAAACATTCACATTAAGTAAGCCATTCTTATAAATAACTTTGGCTCAAAAATAAACTAATACATTAGTAGGCCCTTACTGAAAAGGGACTGATTCCTTTTCAATTGAACTTGCAGTTGCGATTCTTCATCTGATGTGTATATATTTTTGTAGTGGTCTCAGTAATCCTGAGGACTAACGTGTCAAAATATTTACCAAATATATCAACAAAACAGTTTCTCAAAAACTTTCATGAAACCAAGTTAAAGAAGAAAAACAAAGATTTTCTTTTTTTTTTTAATATATGTATATATATACACACACACACTTTGACTAGTTTTAGGTATATTAAAAACAGTCTTGTGATGGCCCTGATAATTTCATTTTCACTTAAGTGTCTATTTCCTGACTTAAGACTTTAAACACCTTTTGAAATTTTTAAATTCTTAAGTCTCCTCTTGTAGTAACTTTTCTTGCTCAGTGCCTTTAATAATCTATTTTCCTAAACACTGTCTTTCCAGCTTATTTTGCTATGATCATTTTCCCTTGTTTACAGTAGTAGCACAGATCATTAACAAAGGGAATTAAAGTGGAATTCTGATCTTTGAAAATCTGAAGCTACAAAGTTGTAGCTTCTGAAGTTACACAAAACAAAGTAAAAAGGAAGAAATTATGACAGAACAAAGCTTTTTAAAAAAAAACGAAGATGCTGAAGATCATTAACAATATTTTTGGTGCTCCAACTCTGAACACTGTTAACTTTTATCTGTTTACTCCTCCTTCTCTGTTTATTATGTCTATATTGGTAGAAAAGACCAGATGATACTACAAACAGGACAGGTGTAAAACTCTATATTTCTAGGTCTCAAATAACTACATGAATGGTGTTTGAGTCTGTTAACACCATTCTCTAAATGAACTATTCTCCTATTCTCACAGAAAATCTGTTTTTACCTGAACAATAAAAGGGCAGTATTTCCAGATGCACGACTTTGGTCTTACATTGTACAACTGAATCTCCATGCACAACAGTTTTGCTTCTATGCTTTTTTTCAGTAATATGGACTCCCAGCTGCTGACATGCAAGGCTGAAGTGAGCCTGCATTCCCATTACATGAATCTCACATGCTAAGTTTTCACACAGAGCCTGAAAGAGGTGACAAGGACAGCAAGTTTGTGGAATGTTGTAATGATGCCTTTGCTCAGTGGTGGCATCTCAGCCCGTCATGTTGAAACTAGACAGCAGAAGCTGAGACTAGTCTAGCAGTGGATGTAGTATCACCTAGAAATCCCAGCTACCAAGCACAACTCCAGGACAGTCCAAGGGTTCAGAGCTACAAATTAACAAAAAACCCCACCACACAAGAAAAGGGCATAAAAGCAAGTATGATCTGAAGCCTCTGTTAGGCCCTACTGCTATCAGGAAACAGAAGAAGTCAACTCACTGATGTCATCATATGCCACAGAGTAGGTCTTTATTTAAGATCCAGTTAGAAACTTTAATGAAAACTGTATCCAGCAATACTGTAATCCTCTGCATAAAAACATGCAGCTTCCCCATAAGACACCAGAACACATTAAAAGACCTTTGATAAATTATGAAAGTTTCCATATAAATAGCATTCCTAAAAATTACATACTTCACACGTTTTCCAGCTAACTCACTTTACAGGCTCTTCAAGGAAAAGATTTTTGCCCCTAAATACCTTCTAAAGTTCAGTAAAAGAAACACGTTCAAAAAAAAAAATCAGTACCGATACAAACAAATATCTTTCTTCCCCCCTGCCCTTATGTCAGAATTAAAATGTGAAGATTACTACTAGCACATCTTCAACTACAGGAGGAAAGCCTTCCCCTCTGGGAAACTGTTTTGCCTTACATGAAGATGATATATCCCTTCTACCAGGTCTCATCTACACATAATACCTGCATTAGTTTAAACTTTTTTTAATAGACATAGATAAAATCAACACTTAGTGACATAAAAATCCAGTTTGGGGTTAAACTATTTAAGAATTTGCACATAATTGCAAAAGCTTCTTTAAACCAACCAGTGATTTATAGGAACTCACTGGCCAGACCTTAAGCCTGAAGCCTTTCTTCCCAAGATCCAAGAAAGAGATGGCTCTCCTCTTCACACATGTAATCCAAGAGATGCACTGGTTTAAGCAAATGTGAGAGTTGCCTTGACCTACTTGCCCCATATTGCCCTTTCTGGTACATCTGCAGGCAACTCAGGCAGCTCGTCGGTGAACTGAAGTGGGGAAAAAAAGACAAAGACTAAAAGCCAGCTTTTCCTCCTGCAGTCAGTTTGGTTTCCACTCAGTATTGGCTTCTTGATCTGTTTAGTAGTTCGTGTCAGTAATCTGATGGCTAAACATTGACAATCTGAAGAGCTTCACTAAAGTGCTACCTGCAAAGGCACTAAAGAACAGAAACAGAGCTGTACACAGAACTAGGAAGACAGTCCTGAATTCAATTTACATTCAAGGGGTCACTTACAGTCTCACAAGAACTGGAAGGTAATTGAGCAGCATTATGTAGGTTAGTTAATTCCTTCCATTCTCTAAAAATATTAAGCAGACTTTAAGACTCCATGGCTTCCAAATACTTCTATAAATCCCACCATTTTTCTTGGAGCACCCCTTTTTTATGCTGAGCTTTGGGGTTCACTTTTTCCAGGAATAAATGATAAGCACTTAGGGGGTAGGGCACACCCAGCATTGCACCTAAGCCATTCCAAAAGTGACTGGTTATATGTCCATGTTGATTGAAGTTCAGTAAAAGCACTGCATTTCCTCAGAACTGCTCATGTAAATCAGGGTGCTTCAGTGTTTTACAGACTAACCACTAGGCTAAACGATCAGGGCAATACTGATCAGATTTTTAGCTATGATCCACAGAGTGCTTTGTTATCATGTTCCTGGCTCTTCTTTCTTCACAGAAGCTCCTACACCTACACAGAAGCTAAGTAGCTACTGCATTAAAAAGGGGAGGGCAAAGATGAAGGACATGAGTCCACAGCAACAAGTAATGAGACAAGCAGAAATTCCCAAAAGGCCAGACTGAAAGGCACGTTGTTGATCCTGCTCATGTTTAGTCAACAGAAGTTAAAATGAGTAAATCTAAGTTATGTACTTCGTGAAGAAGAACAGTGAAATTGGGATTCATGGCACAGGAACTGATAAAAAATAATTAATACTTTCTATGTATGTATTTTTTCAGGGCAATTGTACAGCAATGATGATATATTACCTAAAAGACCAAAAGCAGATGACACGTGCCTGTATCTTAAAAAGCATTTGCCCCACCAAAACATGGACCCCAAAAAAATGCATTCCAAATCCTAATTTAAGACAATCCAGTAGTGGCCAACACATGCTTTTCTAAGTTTGAATGTAGTAGAGATGCCTTTGATTAAAACATGATATACCTATTATAGTGTTGTATTTTATTCCAAAATATAAACAAAGCCAGCAGTTAGTGTAGTAACTGCTAGTTTTATGTGAAATCACAATTAAAGGTGGACTTACTGTAAATCCATTAAATACGCACCCCATCCAAAGAAAAAACAACAGTGTTCATAGGACTGCGTAAGGCAAACAAATAAAATGGACATGGCCAAAACGGCATTTAAGTTTCCACTTCTGGGTATAATGGACAATTATTCCCCTTAAATCAACCTTTTTGCCTCTGAGAGCAGAAGTTGCTTTGTCTACACTAAGAAGAAGATTCGACAGCAATACAGCTGTCATTGGCAAATTCCCTCCCATGTCTTCATTAACACAGTTTAGCTGCTGACATACTTTACCTCCTTGAGTGTATTCCATCACATTCCCACTTAAATATATACTGGACATAGATCTCTTCTGTGGTAGCAACTAATCATCGCAAGTAACAGAAACTGGTTACAGTTGGAAGCCTTTTTTTTGTTTTCACACTATCAGTCAGAAAGCAAGTTGCACAAAATCTATGCTTCAATATTTTGACAGGAATTTTCTAGCTGGAAGTAAGGGCACAGCTTTACAGACTTAGGAGATCACTCTTCCCAGGGATAATCTTGAGTACAGAAGCTTTCATAAGAAGGTTCACAAGGCATAAAGCACTTAACATCAAAGAAACATTTTTTTCCTACTGTTTAAATACATTATCCTTTACTACCCTGAAGAGTAGATACTTGGAGGAAGCCAGAAACCAGTTTTAAACATACGAAGCCAGACTATGTTGACTCCCCTGGAAAGAACAGTCATCCCAGAAGTAGCTGGCAGGATAGTCTGCCCAGAAGAGGGAGTAGCTGCTCATAAACATTAAGCGTTGCACTTGTAGCCTCACATTTCTACACAGTTTAGTCTTTGTTCTATGAAATAGCAGCATTTAACTTGAGAGACCCTAATAACGCTAATAACTTACAGTGTACAAAAAGCCAAGAACTAAAGTTTACCAAAATGCACACACAAACTACTCCAGCAGATAACAGATGATCCACATATGCATAGTTTAGTTAGCTCCTTGTTTACAAATTAGGAAATTCAGGTATACAGAGACAAGTGGCTTGGGTCCATTTCTTTCAGCAGGTGGTCTGCATGACAGGATTGCCTATTATTTTTTCCATGGTGACACTAAGCTTTCTAAAAGGTGAAAAAGATGGCCAGGCTCTTCTTTATGTAAGTTCTAAGAGATGAAAACTTCATTTTAACATTTTACTGTTAATATCTTAACATGCTGAGAAGACGACTGCGCAGACGAAGAAAACCTAAAACTTATTGTAGGAGCAAGGAGTTGACATTTTTCTGATGTTTAAAAATAACTTGCCATCTAGCAAGGAACATAAGCAACCGTATCTTCTAAAGTTACAAGTGAAGAAAAAAATTCCTACTCAGGTATTACAAAATATTGTTCAGGATTTTATCTCTTTGGAAAAAAGTGTTTTCCCCCCCAAACTATACATAAAAATATTTCAGACAAGATTAGAACTTTACAAAAGAGACATACCATGAAAAGGATAAAACAGTTTTTCAGAACAAGGATGCAAAAAGCAATGGAAGAGAGATGTCACACATCTTCCATTAAAAGTTCACCAAAATGCTGAAATGGAAAAACTGCTTTTTACTTTACCTTAGGATGAGCTCGTCTCTAGGTAAAACCTTAAAATCTGCTTCACTAAGGCGAACCTATGGAGCAAAAGGAAAAGCACACTTACCAAGCTGTCATGATTACCCAGAGGGATAGTCTCACAAGTATTTTTAAACATACCTTCTTTGGGAGAGGTTCTTCATTCGTCATTGTGAACTCTGAGGGGGCAGAAAAAAAGGAGTTTTATTTAGTGTAGTTACTAGTGTATATGAGATACTGAACAAGTCAGAAACTTGTACTTCTAACCTTTTTTTTTTCTTTTTTTTTTTTAATTTGCAGTATTACACTACTGAAATACTGGCTCTACACAATGCAGAGCCAGAGTACAAAACACTATGACAAGTTTGTTGCTGTAATCTAGATAAAAAGCTAACAGATATTTTTTCTAAAAGTTCACAAAACTTCCTTTATATGTCTAAAAAGCCTAACAGTAATCAATTCTTCCTATTTAACTAAGCAAAACCACCCAACTCTGTCCATATACATTTAGATCAAACTGACATTTCCTATGTGCCTGCATCTATTTAACATTGTATTTTATGAGGTAGAGGCTAATCAGGGTCTGAGAAAAGCATATCTATACTACTACTTTGGTATCTCTTTGGAAAAAATGTCAGTCATTTGTGAACATTACCACTAATGTTTGGGTTATGTCAAAATAACATGTTCTTCCAAGTACTTATTCTCTTACTTTTAAGATTCAGATACACAGGAAGCATTAAACAGTTATTTTAAAACCCTTATGAACATTTTTAAGAAAAGATGTCAAATAGATGGCTTGGATACACTACCAAATTCAATTCCTCTTGTGTGCATTTGGCATAATAGGACTGCATTGTGCTAGGTTAAATATTCACACTTCCTTGAGTTACAGGACATACTATGTATTATCCTGTTGAGGTAAGGAAGCATGTCCTGCAACTATGATTATATCAAAAATATTGAGTTTGCAAAGATTATAAGTATACAAGTAATGACTGCAAGGTTTGCTAGAGGAATGCATCTTTGCAACATGCTTTCCAACAGAAAAGTTGCATGTAATGCAAGATTCATGTAAGATATATAAGATATATATATAAAGATTCAACAAGCCTGTAAAACTGCTGTGATGCACATATACCAGGGAAAGGATGTGTCAGCTCCTTGGCCGTGAACATTTAGCTTCACAAAAACAATGCTCTTAAGTAGTTAAAAAAAGACTTTATTTTCTCAAAAAGACTTTCAGACTACCTTAGGTATTTTCACGACAACACCCAATGAACTAATTTAACTTTTCCAAATCCTAAGAAAAAAAAAATCCTAAAATTGTTTGTCAGCAAGACAAACAAATACACACCAAATGAAGTAGAGTCTCTTCAGCCGACGCTAACCATTGACAAATACACAGCACTTTACCAAACAAGGCCCTGGTTAAAAAATAAAAATAATAAAAAAACAGCTACGCAAAAAACCCTACCAAAAAACACCACGCCAAGTACAGTGCACAGATGAAACAACTTCCAAGCCTTTCATAAAATAAAAGCTGACACTAGAACCCACAGAAAGGTTTCCAAAAAACATCCAGTAGAAGCATCTCACCGATGAATGGCAGCTTCCTGTTCCTAGTCTTAGCAACACAGAGGCACTTAAGTGCTTCCCTAGCCTGAGTCCCCCCACCCCCACCACCTTCCCTCTCGCACACAAGTTACTCAAGCATTTTGCTTTAACTTCTGGATGCAGCTCCTTATCTGAGACTGTTATACTGAAAACATACCTTAAATATATTCAAGCGAAGAGGCTATCAATACAAACTGCTGGTGCCCAAGTCAGTCATCCAAAATAACACAGAATAACTTCAGATCACAGGGGGAGTGCTCATGACCCCTGTATTTAGGTTGCCTACCTCTCTCACTATAGTTTTCCTAAAGATTTTTAGATTTTTTAACTCCTTAAGTGTTTGGAAGTAAGTCTTGAAGATCTCAGCAAGATTTAAGTCCTTGACAGACAGAAACATGCTTTTCAGACATCCCACAGAACTACAGCTAACACTGATTAAACTGTGCACAGACGATGGTTTTTGTGTGTTCCTCAGAAAAGTACCAGAAGCATACAAATACCAAAAAAGGTGAGTTTCCCCAAAGATTTGGCTTGTGAACCCTGCAGCAGCATAAAACAATGACAAACACATTGTGATGCCACAATCATGACTGAAAGAAATCAAAGGCTGATGCTCCATCTAAGGGTAGTCTACCTCTTATCATCTGACTTTGTGCAAGGTTCCAGCACCCAGTTCTCTACAGCAGCACCAAACCTACCTAACTCTAACCTCTACACCCAGCACACCACCATTTACAAAGCCATCTCCTCCTTTCAGACAAGAGCACAAAAGTGCTGAAGACTGAGGTTACAGGCCACTGCATTACAGAAGTTACTGTTATAGTAGGTGGCAGTAAGACTTGCAGTGATAGAACTGTACACTAAAAAAAAAAAAAAACAACCCACTAGCTAAAAATATTCTACAGGTTATTTTAGAAAAGCTAGATTGATCACGTCTACAGAGAAACACTAGCACTCTTTCTGTATGAGCGAATTTCACCTCACTACTCCCATGCAACTTCTTTTTTGGCACCTACAGTAACCTACCAAAAGCTTACGAATTTATTATTGCTATATATTTCTACCATTCTGCTCAGTGTTTTTCAGAAACATTAAGAGCATCAGTTGTCACTGTGATTTGCTTTAGCTTTCTGTTCATTAACAGATGAATTTGTATGCTACAGGCAATAACATTACAACTGAAATGTTCATCTTTTGAATTTAACACAGTAACTTTCCAAGTACTGTGCAGCAAGAGGTGCTTTTCATCATTCCACTCTCCTCTAAAAGAGATGATCTCGCTCCTACACAGATCAGAAATATTTTGCAAGGGCATGATGAAGTGATATTTTCTACAATAGAAAGAATCAACATAAACAACATTCCCGTATAACTGACTAGAATTAACACGATTATATTTTGCAATTTATATGACAAACAGCTTAACTGTACTATCCTAACTAGGCACTTTCACGATTTTGGGGAAACGACGGCTGCTATGTGCCACTCCTTCCACGTATCTGCTCCTGGCAACGAGCAATACAAAACCATATTTCATACTTAAAATAACATTGCTATGATCACTGGAAGAATTTTTTATGTAATCTCATCATGTTTTAGGCTTTTATGGCACTTTAAACATGAAGAGTGGTGAAACGGGCAAAGTGCATTTTAATTTTTGGAACTCCAGTGGTCTGTATACCTTTTGCTACAATGTTTGGAAAACAGAGAATTTAAGGATTAAAGAAACCCTAAGAAACAAAGTAATTAAATAATATCAGGTATGCTGCTTTACTAGTTACACCTGAAGTAACCGCCAGGTATTTTAACAATATGAAAAAGAGTTCCGTGGGGAAAACCCCAGCACAGGCTCCAAACTCTCGAAATATGAAAAAACCCCTTCAAAATAACACCCTGACTGGGCAGACTTCACACTCGCCTCAGCAACGGCGGTCTGAAGCCGGGTCCCGCGGCCGCCCCCCCCCTCCCCGCACACACACTCCCCCGCGGCCGGCGAGGCCCCGCCGCGCAGCCCCGCCTCCTGCGC